CACACACACACACACACACACACACACACACACACACACACAGAAAGCTGCATGCCCCAGCACAATGCGGCCTGTTATAACCCACTCAGAGGAGGCAGTGTTCAGGGAGGGGCCACACCTAGAGGAGCCCGACCACAGATCTATACTTAGAGCAACCCGCGCCAGCCAGAAGATTACAGAAAGCAGATGTCAGGATTTGGCTAAAAATACTCACTTTAGCATAGTATGCTAGCACACGATCTGTGTAGATTACTGATTTTATACAGTGGGGGAAATAAGTATTTGACCCCTTGCTGATTTTGCAGGTTTGCCCACTTACAAAGAATGCTTATTTTTCCTCATCAGATGGTTATCAATTTTTATAAATTTATATGCGATTTTCTAGAATTTTCTTTGGGATTCTGTCTTTCACTGTTAGAATGTACATATGATTAAAGTTATAGATCGTTGCATTCTTTGTAAGTGGGCAAACCTGCAAAATCAGCAAGGGGTCAAATACTTATTTCCCCCGTTGTAACTATATTTTGTGTTAAAGTCTCTGGCTGCGTCCACAGACTCTCTTTTTCTTTCTCTGTTGCATTAGATCCACCTTTAGGTCAACACACACACACACACACACCATTTGTTACCACATTCCTGTCATCTGCATGAATTAGGACCTGGCCTGTTCAAGCCCAGAGGTAACTGGCCAATAGGACTTGGTTGTGTCCAGTCCTCCTGTTAAAATTTGGTTATAAATACTCACTTTAGCATTGCATGCTAGCACATGATCTATGTAGATTACTGATTGTTTTATTTTCTTGTATAACTATATTTTGTGTTAAAGTCTTTGTCTCGATTTCTTTCTCTGTTGCATTACATCCACCTTTAGGTCAACACACACACACACACACCATTTGTTACCACATTCCTGTCGTCTGCATGAATTAGGACCTGGCCTGTTCAAGCCCAGAGCTAACTGGCCAATAGGACTTGGTTGTGTCCAGTCCACCTATTAGAATTTGGTTATAATTACTCACTTTAGCATTGTATGCTAGCACATGATCTATGTAGAATACTGATTGTTTTATTTTCTTGTATAACTATATTTTGTGTTAAAGTCTTTGTCTCCATTTCTCTCTCTGTTGCATTAGATCCACCTTTAGGTCGACACACACACACAAACACCATTTGTTACCACAATCCAATGTTATCAACATGAATTAGGACCTGGCCTGTTCAAGCCCAGAGGTAACTGGCCAATAGGACTTGGTTGTGTCCAGTCCTCCTGTTAGAATTTGGTTATAAATATAAATATAAGCTTAACTGTGACCCAATAAATGTCAATTTTTTATACTTTTGATCTACTCTGGCTTATTCTCAGGTTTCCAATTAAAGAATCGGGTTAACACAGACACCTCCAATAATCCTTAAACATTCTTTTCCCAAAGCTTCGGCGTGAAATGTAAATACGCCACCG